ATTCCTAAGAACACCTCTGGAAAATCATGTTCTCATCTTGAATTAATAATCATGAATAAAAACTTTGTTTTGCAGTTCTGCAAAGAATGAAGGTCAATTTGTGCAAGGCCGAATTGGTGGCAAGGCTTTAGTGACACCAGCAAACTGAGGCTAATTCAAACATGGTTTAGGACATCCATCCCAGACATAAACATGAGACCCAGAACTTGGATCTGAAATGGTGGAAAATGGACTCTTTCCCCACTGAAGCACCATTTAGTTAATGGTTTTGGTTCAGATGTCTTCTTGAATTAGAAACTGAAATTTGAATTTTGAAGTTCGACTAAAGTAGCTGCTGTGCCTGCCTTCAGTGCAGGCTGAGATATGTTGCTTTCCCGTGGGCAGCACATCTCCCTCAGCAGCAGGATCTGAATGTGCCCTGTGAAAGAGGCTCCATTGCCTACAACCCTGCCAGGACTGCTCAGCAGCAGAGCCTCAGTGCTTCGTGTAGCTCCTCTCCTCTGCATGTGCAGTTACTGCATGTGTCTAAATTCTTCACCCAGGGGCCATTGCTGTGGGACCCTCCACACCCAGCCTACAGCCACCAAACTGACCTGCAGCTCACAGATTTAGTTCTCACCCTGCCAAAGGGAAAACTGAAGGACATAGTGAAGTCTTTGCTTTCTGACATAATATAGATTAATTTCTGTTCTGCATTCACAGGGAATTGATATAGACAAACATGTAAGATAATACAGCTACTGCTCTGATACAGAAGCTGAGCAGCCCTTAAAGCCATAGTCTGGGGAAGAAGTGTGTAGCATTTGAAAAAAAAAGCCAAAATAGTTTTCTCATAAATGGCCTGTAGCTATTTTCAGATTCACTTATTTTAGCTTGGTATACCAAGCTGAAGGTATACCATAAACTAAAGGTATATCATAAACTACATGAACAGAGCTGTCTCTAAGGAGACTGCTAATATTAGTGGTGGCTTCCTATTGTGATGGACAGCGATTCTCTGCAATATAAACAACTCTTAGCTTACATTAAATTAAAAAAATAAAAAAAAGAAAAAAATCTAGCTTCAAAGAATATCTCAAAGTAAGACTGCTACCACAGTTTTGGTTCAGATCCCTTGCACATGAAGATACAGTTTTTAAGTAAAGAATTGTGTTACTTTTAAACCATGATGACCCAGGATGAGTGGCCTATTCTGACTGAATGGGTCTCTTCAGTATTTCTCATGGAACAGGCAGGGAAAGCAAGGCTGGAGGACAGCTGCCTGATCCAGCACACCTCAGCACTGCCATCTGTGAGGGAGAGAGATCCAACCAAGCAGCTGTAATGATTCACCCACACTGGACCTTGGCCTTTTTCCTGGAACAGTTTCATTTGAAATAAAGGGTCAGCTTTGTTATTATAGACAATTTCAACCCACGTGTCTGATGTGTGCCAAAATTCTGACCAGAAAAATATGGTCACGAAAGGAGAAGTGATACTCTTTACTGGAGATTGAACTGAAATATACACTCAGAGATAAGCTGCTTTAGAAATCTTTCTGCCTATTCAGAACATAAACACATCCTTGTGGTGCAAAACTACCCCTCCTCTCTTACAAGCTGATGTGTGAATGAACATTACAGGAATTAGCAACATGCTCAAAAAACAGGTCTGGTTACTTCTCACTATATGAAAGGGAAGGTGAAAAACAAAAAAGCCTCACCAGTGTTTGTTTTGATTTTTTAATGACCAAGTGTAGCAAAACCAAAGCAACCATGAAGAAGATAACTGTACACACACACGTTAGTCAATAACTAAACTGTGCAAATTGACCTCAGTACTTGTTCCCTCCTTACTCCCTCCCCCTCTCACAGGAAAGTTTCATATACAGTGCAGCAGTGCAGCTCTGAGCCACTGCTCAAAGTCAGTAAAAATATTTTTGTAACCTTAAGTAGGAAATGTAATAGGCCAAGGATTGAAATAAAGACTTTTCAGGCCTCTGCTTAACCTTTCTGTACCTCAGTGTTTGCTTTCATTAATCAGAATACCTTACCTGATTATAAGATAAGTATTTTTTTACTAGCAGAAATCCTTTGAGAGTTCACATATTTTTTCCTTTTGACAAAACTGATTATTTCAAAGGCTGCTACTTGATTCAGATGTAAGATTTTTATGATCCACGATGTGCAACCTAAATATTTAATCTAATAATTTAATTTTTTTACAGTGCAAATACAAAATTGGTAATGAAGTAGACAAAAAAAAATCTTACAGGACACTCTGTTCAATCCTTACTATTTCAGAAGGACTCCTTGGTAAGCCCTGTTCAAAAAATCACATTAACTGCTTTGTGTTAACAGACTGATCCCATGAAGCAGAACAAATTCTTATAGTTCATTGTGTTGAAGACCTTGAGAGATTCTGCTGGATAAGTCTTGCAAGTGTTTCTTTACCTATCAGGAAAACAAAACACACCAAAAATTTCAGGAAGACAGTGAATTATCAATATAGTGATATATTCAGATTTTGCTATGAGTATTTGTAACAACAGAAAGAGCAGAGAGCAGGAAGATTTCAGACCTTTTAGAACTAGGTCTATAAAAAACAATTATGTGTATGCTGTACTAAACATGGAGAACAGATGTGTCTTGAACTCCCCTTCTGGAAGTCATTCAGCTTGCATGAAAAATCAGCACTGGATAATCTACTTCCCCTCTGCTACTGAGTTAAACTTTCAACATGTATGTAACACTGGATTTATACAGACCTTATATCTTCTATAAAAAACAATTATGTGTATGCTGTACTAAACATGGAGAACAGATGTGTCTTGAACTCCCCTTCTGGAAGTCATTCAGCTTGCATGAAAAATCAGCACTGGATAATCTACTTCCCCTCTGCTACTGAGTTAAACTTTCAACATGTATGTAACACTGGATTTATACAGACCTTATATCCTAGTTCTTTTGTCTTTTCTTGCAGCATGGCATATTTCTCTTTGTTTCTGTTCAGATGATCCTGTCTCCAGTTCCCTCTACGTGCTTCAGTTTCTGGTGTGAAATCTCTAATTGCTTCTGGTAATGATGGTGCTTTTCAATTTTTGCTTCGAAATGTTTCAGCTCCTCCTAAGATAACAAATACAAGATCCAGCTGGAAACCACCGGGGCTCATCAGTCCTAGCACAAGTTTATCTATTGGAGGGGTTTTTTTTTATCATTAAAACCAGCTAACAGATTATAAAAATTCTCATTTTCAGTGAGTATGTTTAATAAACACAGACTCAGAGCTCAGTATTGTTTTTAAACATCTGAATGATACTGAAAAGATTCAGTCGTTACTTTGTGTGTCAGTTGATTATTTAAAAGTAACTAGGAAAAGTGTAATTACTTTAAGCTGATGTACTTCCTACCAACAAGAATTCAGGAAAGTATCCACATCATTGTTTATGTTTCCATCATAGGCTGTCCTAGTAATTAATCTTGTGCCACTGCATACAATTATTTTGATTTTTAAACTATTTTTTCTCTGCATTTTGCACTTGGCTTACTGAAATTATTAAAATCTAGAGTAGTTAGAATCATGGGTAAATATAATACGTATAGAACACATACAGCATTCTGTTTTCTAGAAGATATAGAAAAGAATATCAGAACTTCTAAACATGAAGTCTGCAGACATCATCAATCAAACATCTTAAAGTCTTAATAAATACTAAGGAACTATATTAAGCCCACTATTCCTTAAGAGAAAACAAGATTCTACTCAAATTTCTTCCAATTAGAGCAATATATTTCTAATTCTCATTATAATTTAGTAGGAAACTAAAGTAAGTG